AAGTATGTCATGGAAACCACAGTGACTTGGGCTTACTTCCCTGGGTACCTGGCTGGCCGTGAATTATACTGGCTACACTTTCCATGCAATTAGGGCTGGAGGGACTGTTTCTGGGATCCCTTGGCATATTGTGCCTAATGGAACTATTATCCTGAAGTGGTGTTATATGGGGGGGGGGGGGGGGGATTCCAGCATATGTGGGGTTGAGAAACTTTATTTTCTGTTACCTGGCATCAACTACTGCTAGCTGGAATTACTTTCGGTGATCAGCTCTCACTTTGTTTAATCACCTCCAAAGTCCATACTGCTAGATGCTGGGTATGAATCCATTGTATACTCGTGTTTAATGTAAACTTCTCCTGGGACTTCTAATATGGGCCATACCTGTCCAGCGGGAAGGCTTTTGTGTATAACTGTTGTGCTGTTTGGTTCTGTCAGATGCTTGGGGTACATTTGCTATAATCTGGCGCCCAAATGGAAGATGCTGTACTTTTTCAGAGATACCCAGTTGGGCTGTCAGTCTTTCAGAGGAAGGGGGTTGGGGAGGCAGGAAACCCCCAACTATGCATAGCCCCTCCCCCTCCCATAGGCAATGCTTCGGCTTTTTGTAGCAAGCCACAAATCACAAGGCAGAGGGAATGAGAACCCAAACTTCTGTGATTTACTCTAAGAAAAGGATTTTACAGTTAAATCAAAAAAATCCTTTTCTTTATCGTACATCCCAGGACACAGGGCATCTTCCTCTTTTTCAACAGGGATGTCCCAAATCACTGAATATGAGGGGAGGGAAACAAACCAGCAGAACTCAAACTAAACTAGAATAGGATAGAACCCCAAACAGACTGGAAAACACACTAATCAAAAGGTAGCAATCTTCAGCACTTATCCAAAGCTGGGAAAAAACAAAAACATTCCCCTTGAAAAGGTAAATGCTCCACATACTTTTTACAGAGCAATTCCACTGACCAACACTTCAACCATAAGATTGACTCAACTTTCCAGCTGCGGATCAGTGCCCGGGACCTGTGTAGCACCTTACTGGTCCACACAACAATATAGCATTGTGCAGGGTCCCATTCTGTCCCAGCATGCCCAGTGCAGGGTCCGGGTACCATTCCTCTGAGCCTAGAAGAGCTGTAGGAAAATGGACCTAGAAAGAGCTAGTCTCCCAAAATTAGATGGAACCGGTGAGAAGCTAGCTATGTTTTTGTGCAGAGGCTGTACAGGCATGACCATCACCTAAGACACCAACAAAACTGAAACACTGCCCAACAAGTTATGCCTATGAGGGGATTTTCACTTTCATTTCCAGTGTTCAAGCACCTAAAAAGGTGGCAGTACAAACTATCATAATGGAGATAAAGATTGTACATGTACGATAAAAGGTGGAGGGGGGGGGGAATGGAAGGAAATATGTAATTTTAGTGTTTAAACAAAGCATATCTAGAACAAAAATTTTCAGCAAGTATAGAAAAACACCACTATTCCCTTTCCTCTACATACAAGGCCCTCAGCACTCGGGGCCATCTAGGAACAGTGCGTCCATTCTGGCGTTTTAGACAGGTTGCGGCTTAACAGGGCTGAACACTTTATTGAACGATACTCATGTTTTTAGAGCCCTGTGCTTTTTTGAAGACAGGTACGGATCACAGATCTTTATCTAAACTAAAACCAGTTTGATTTAGATACACTTTGGGGGTTATTTACTAACGCTGGACAGTGCACGATCTAGTGCAAATCTGCACAGAAACTAATCCGCTTCCAGGTTTTATTGCCAAAGCTTAATTGAAAAAGCTGAAGTTGATAGCCAGACAGCTTCTATGCACAGCTACACCAGATTTTACATGCTCTAGTTTTAGTCTATCTCCCCTTTTCAGTCTTATATCAGGGTGTAATATTCTATCCTTCACACTAGCTATCCTGTTTGTCTTGTTTATGAAGGGATTCCCATAGCACTGTGAGCACAACAGCCTGCTATGGAGTTTCCTGCTCTCTTATTGAAACCTCAAACTAAACCATCTGAAAAGCGAGGAATCAGGGCTGTGATGACCCATTGACTTCTGAAAAGGTATACAATGTGAAAGATATTAAAAGGAGACTATAGCTCCACCTGCTGGGTGGAGAGAAGACTACATAATATCCAATATTTCAAGTTTTCCTAATTTTATGTATTTAAATTTTAAGTTTTGAGGATATTGTCAATGTGAGAAAAAAATAATTATATTTGCTTTTAAAAATTAGTCCAAACATGATTTTAGTTATAGATTATGCTAGGCTGATCCATCAGCTGGCTTCTGTTAGTGCCTAGTAATTCCAGCAGCACAACTCCCTGATGTTTGGGAGGGTCTCCATCCGTTTGGGGTGTTCTAACCCTCCTGATGCAGAAGACTAGAACTCAACATTAATAATCAAATGTGGACTCCTTTTTTCTTCAATTAGGTGGTTTAATTCTCCACTATTTGCCAAAAACTGAAATGGGAGTTTTGGATTTGAGCTGCGACATTTAATTATAACCTCATCTGAAACTTGATATTTTTAGGCAGAAGATTGGAATCAATCTTCCAGCTACGAGGAAGTAGTGACAATATTCTTGCAATTACCCCCCTCTCAATTATATACATTTTTCCAGCGTCTCACCCACTGCTCTTGCCCAGCACAGCAATGATCTTTTTTAAATAAAAAATGTGAGGAAAAAGGTTCATCAAGGATCAAATTTGCTGGCTAAGATGGCAGAAAATGCTGATTAAATTTTTATGCATTTCTACAGCTAGTCTCTAGTCTGAAAAGGGGGCGGAAATTAAACAAAAAAAAAAAAAAAAAACACACACAAACAAATACAATAAAGCAAACGCTTACACAGGTACTCACAGGTTCGCTGCACACAGATGAGGTGGTACTGGAGGCCTGCGGGAGTTCAGTGCGCACATTGAACCATTCGAAAAACAATATTCAGAAAGGTTAACAAAACCATTTGCAAAAGCTCTTATTCAGCAGCAAGCCAAAGTCTCAATTCATGGACAATGAAACCGTATTCTGTCATTCTAGATGCGACCAATTTTACAGATTGGTACTTTAGCCCAAGTTATTTCTTAGCTTTGGGTGCAGTAGGGATGGGATGGAACGCCTGTCAGGTTTTGACTGCTATCCAGGGCTTCGTTAGAGAGATTTCCCCTCACTTCCTGTCCTGCTGAGGTTTTAAAATGCTTAGCAGAGTAGTGAGCAAGCTAGAACCTTTGTCAGATTTTCCTTGCAGTTTGTCCCTGTTGTAGATTTTCCCTTACTTCTTGCCTGGTAAAACCCTAGTCAGCAGGACAGGAAGTGAGGGAAAATCTCTGTAACAGAGTCCCAGCTAGCATTAAAAATCTGGCAGGCACTTTGACTCTTCCAGAAACGTTTCTGCATTGAAAAGCACTTAATAGATGATAAACGCCTGATCTAATTTCAGGTATGCAGCATTATGTGTAAAATACTACAAGCAGCAAATAAAGTCAGTCTGTCACACACTAACATCATAGAGAAAACAGATTAGACCACTTAATGGAATTCGAGCTTAAAGATGAAGTTTAAAAAGGTTTGCCTGCCCCCCCCCCCCCATACTTTAGCATGCCAATTTAGAATTTAAATAAAACCTTTCCATGTTCATTACATACCTTATTTTAGATGCAGTGAAATCACTGGGTCTCTGTCCTTCTCTATGCAATTAAGACAGATATAGCTGTTGGGAGGGACAGCGGGGTGCTCTTGAACTCATTAAGGCACCCTGCCTCAATACTCTAAAGAGCCCTTGGCCCTAATACAAATAGTGTGCTGCCTCTTGGTAGGGGTCATGCAAAATGCCTTCATAAGAGGATGTCAGTCAGGAGTGGGCATTTTTAGACAGATGTTTTTGCATGTGGGACTAGATAATCACAATGAATAAGATCCACATGTAACTCGCAGCTTTCATGATTGAAAGAACTGCAATCCAAAAGAATAAAAAAAGGGGTGGGCAAGGGACAGTCAAGCTAGGGAGGAAAGGGCTAAACATTGCAGGATATCCTCCAGAAGGAATGGAGGCAAGCTCGACATGCAGCAGCTTCTAATACACATTGTGAGAAGCTCGCAGTTTGCAGTGGAATCAGAGTAAGCAATTTCATTCCAGGAGAGGAACCGGTACAATTGTGCAAGAGTGAAGGGAAGTCTGGCTTTGGTTGATGGTTAAAGCCAAATTACAAACTCATCGGAGTTGCCATAGGCATCAGGCATGATGATGTATCTTGCAATCTCCCTCTCATGATTTAAATTAGGGCTAGTGATTAGAGAGCGTGAGTGTAAGTTTTGACCTTTACATTTTTATAGCATCCCGTGGTTGATGTTTACAACATTTTGTTAAAGTGACTGTTGCAAAAACCAAAAAGATCCTATAAAGGCCTCAATCACATATAGGCGATTTGGAATTGCGGGCAGAATTGATGCGATTCTGCCCATGGTTCTAAATTGTGGCAGAATGCATGTTTGTGTGTCATTCATGTTGACTGGCACCCCAAATGCAGTGCAATTTTGCCACGACTGTCACACAACAAAATACGAGTGCAACGATTGCTCCTGGCTCAGGACCAAAATTTGGTCCCTTAGCTTCTTTGGAACAATCGTACGTAGGGCAGTCCATTCAAGTGAATAGGCTGCCCTATGCGCGATACGTTTCCACAATTGTGCAATCACAAGCAGGACCACAAGTTCCAGCTACGTGTAGTGTGATCAGGGCCTAAAAGAAGAGGTACTTGTCCTTAATCTAACCTACTGCCTGTGCCTCTGAGCTTTGCTGTCTTGCAGAGGTATGCTGGCTGAGGAAATGTATGCACCTGACACATGGAGATTTGTTGACTGTGTGACTCTGCTAGAGGGAAGATTGGAGGCACAGATGGCAAGAAAGCATAGTATAGTGTGTAGAGTATAAACTGTCTTTTACAAGTTTTTTTTTTTCAGCCTATTTTATGATAGAGCTGTACTTCATCCTAATGTCAGAAGGGTTTTTGTGAACTCACCTTGAAGACCTGGTCGAGGGTTAAGCAGCGATTGGCCTGGGGGTGGATGGTCCAGTAAGAGATTTTATTGTTGGAAGGGCTTTCACGCACAAACATGTCATGTAAGGAGAGGTTGTGGCGGATGGAATTCTGTGGAAAGAATGATTCAGGGATATTCATTTTAAATAACTGTGAATGAAGGGCACCTGTCGGCTTGCAAATGGTAAGATACTGAAGGTGCTCACTTTAGTCCTAGAGAAGAAGAAGAAACCATTGTTCACAGCTACTAAAATCTAAACTAGTAGCTTTGTGTGGAGTGTAATGTTAGAAAAGGCAACTGACACCTACTTAATTTGCCAAAAATGGCTATTCATGGGGTGACTGGTCTTTAAAACCAGCAAGTAAAATTGTGTAGGCCAAAGTCTTGCCTCCTTGCCATCTTCTGTCCTCCATCACCTTTACTCGCTGCACACTGGTCCTAGATGAGCAATGAAGCATCTTTAGGAGGTCAGCAAAAGGACCACATATTTTTCTAATAAATGGTTTTAATTTAGGAGTAAAATGGAAGAGCAGTGTTTAGTTGTAGAGTAGAAGACATGCCGTTACCAGAATGGATAAATGTAGGATAGATATAAAGTTGTATTGAACCCACAAGCAAACATAGCAGCTAACCATCTTATATGTGATGGCTGCATTTGTTTTCTTTATTGTCATCTGGTTATCTGAGGCAAACCATTTACCACTGACAAGGATGCTTACAATGATCAACTTTATGTAAAATCTTTATCTCAAATTGCAGTGTGAGCTGGAGTTTGGCTTCATTTTGTTAGTGTATCTAAATCTGCTGGTACATCCAAACACTCCCCCTCTCTCAGACTGACAATGTTGCTGTCCAAACGTGCAAGCACTTGAGTACAGGAGGCGAGTTATTGCCCAGATCCCTAGAAATAAAAGCCTAAAAAAAGAAAACTAATGCAACAGCCATCACAGTCTAATGATTGTTAAGCTGCAATATATTAATTTCTGGCTTTGGGTTTAATAGCGCTTTAAGACTTATATAGGGCAGAGGGTTGCCCCAAAATGGACACCATAGACCAGACTAACCAAGTACGTTCAACTGTCTATAGAAAAAGGAGTGGCAAAAACACTAATTTTTAGCAAATACACTGAAATACAAAAGCAGTTTGCAGCTAAATGAAGCTGGTGTTTGTATTGTTCTACCAGTAGCTTCTGAACATTTTTTTCACCTTCCAACCAGGCTTGGCCACAAATTTGAAGTAAGGGAAGTGATCCTCAATCCAGGTGTAGATGTCTTTCAATGTCATGCGTTTGTTCGGTGTGCTGTTAATGGCAAACTGGATGAGTGCCATGTAGGAGTACGGAGGACGCTCGGAGATGGAGACGTGCCATGGCTGAGTGGAAGTTGGCTCTGCGATTTCCTCTTCCATCTGATGGAGAGAAGTAAATGCTAAAAAATCCAAAACATTCTTGGGGTGCAACAGTCGCAGAACAAAAGGAAAGCTTTAAGAAAAGGTTAGAAAATGGCAGGTAGTTTCTGATGGGGATAACACAGATAGTTCTCATCATTTTTCTTTTAAGCTGAACTCCAGACAAAATAGTAAAGGTTTTCTTTCTTCACAATAGACATCTTGTGGCTTACCATGGTCTGTATTCAACAGCGCCTCCTGTAACCGATATCAATCTGATAGGTCACTGAAAACACACCCCTGGCCCCTTATTTCCATTTCATATAACCAGCTGAAGCTGCTGTCTCCGTTACACAGGACAAACACTCAAGTAACAGCCTTGTGAAGTCTTCAATAGACCAGTGCAGTGCAGGCAGATCCCTTACTGTTTTTCCCCTATGAGTGCACATCTAATTTGATGGGCAGTTTATACAACTCAGACAGTCCAGAACTCCCCTGTCACCACACAGTTTGGGCACACAGAGGTTTATTGTAATATCCAGCACAACACATATGCCCTTCATCCCTGTAACCAGCCATAGCAAGGGTTTCGGAAACGAAAAAACAGGTAAAACTATGTCCAAATCAGAAAGTTTAAAAATTAAAAAAATTAAAGCCATATTAGAGGATAATTTTGTCCCTACTTCTAACCCCCTTCTAATCCATCCTGCAAGGTGTTTTTTTCTGTGCTTATCTGGTGAAGAAAGTTGTATTCATCCAAATCCTCCAGGTCAATTGCCACTTGAGGAAACACCTCCACCCTAAACAAAAAGCCTATCACTCCCCTCCGACCTCAGTTCTTGACAACGTACTTCCGGTCACCTGGGGAGACATAATATGTGACAACAAGACAACTATAAGACATCTCATACAATATTCTGCAATAAAGGGTGGGTAATTGGTGCTGTCCTGAAAGACTACTGGAAAAGGCATTACCGTAAGTGCAACTTGATTTTCCCCCTTCGTCTTTCAGGACAGCACCTTGAGAGGATAAGCGAGTACTTACCCCTCGGACAGGCTGACCGCTTGCAGTACCTCACGTCCAAAGACCTGCTTCTGCACCGAGACCAGGTCAAGTCTGTAATGTTTTACAAACGTCCCGTGACTGGACCAGGTTGCTGCCCTACAAATCTGTTCCGGGGAGGCTCCTGCCAGTTCAGCTTGAGTTGCCGCTATGGCTCGTGTGGAATGCGCCCCGATTCCTTCTAGACCTTCGGCTCGGTATGCTTGTTCAATTGCTAGTTTTAACCATCTAGCTACTGTTCGCCTGGAGGCTCTTTTCCCTTTTCTCGCCCCCGCAAAGGAAATAAAAAATGACTATGTGCTTCGAAATTCTTTAGTCCTCTCTAGGTAAAGTAGCACACACCTTCTTACATCTAACAAATGACATTTCTCCTGACTTTCCCCTACCGGGTTAGGAAAAAAATGAGGGCAAAACTATATCCTGTTCCCTCAAACTTTTGGGCCACCTTCGGAACGAAGGATGGGTCCGTTCTGAACACCACCCTATTCGGAAAAATTTGCAAGTAAGGTGTCCTGACCGACAGGGCTTCCAGTTCACACACCCTCCTTGCTGTGGTGACTGCCACCAAAAAAAAAAAAACGGTTTTAAGTGTGAGATCCCTTAGCGAGCAGGACCCCAGGGGCTCAAACGGGGGCTCCATCAATACCCTGAGCACTTTTGTCAAATCCCACATCGGGAATTGCCTATTCCCAGGAGGTCTCTGTCTTGTCAGAGCTCTAAAGAACCTGATTACCAGTCCCCTTAGCTAAAAGGGCTTTACAGAAACACACTAAGGGCCGAAATCTGGCTTTTGAGTGTGCTGATCACAAGCCCCTTATCGACCCCCGCCTGCAAGAATTGAAGGACTGACACTAGGCTATGGGTGTCCACTGAGGCCCTGTAGCACCATTCTCTAAAGGGACTCCAAACCTTCCTGTAAATGGCTTGGGTTTATGTTTTTCTGCTAGCCAGCAGCGTAGCCACCAGCCTGGCTGAGAGCCCCTTTGCTAACAGGAGTTGCTGCTCAGAAACCAAGCCGTCAGTTTCAGCCTCTCTACCCTGTGACATAGGACCGGGCCCTGCGACAGTAAATCCTTCCGCGGAGGCAATACCCAGGACGGCCGCGTGGCTAAGGCCCTCAATGTTGCGAACCACGCCCTGCGGGGCCAATACAGAGCAATCAGGATGAGAGAAGTTCTCTCCGACCTGAACTTCCTCAGTACCACCTCTGTCCCAACGCATCTACTGCCCGCGCCCCGTCCCACCAGTTTAAGGAAAAGAATCTCGGGACCTTGTTGTTCCTCCCTGACGCGAAGAGGTCTATGTCTGGGGATCCCCACTTCTTTACAATGGCCTGGTACACCTCTCCAATTAGGACTCATTCCGACTCTCTGAGTTGTCTTCTGCTCAGAAAGTCGGCTACCTGATTCAATTCCCCTTTTAGGTGAACGGCTGATAAGGAGGCAAGATTTCTTTACGCCCAAGACAGAACCACTGCCGCCAGGGTCCAGAGAGACCTGCTCCTTGTTCCTCCCTGTCTGTTTATGTAGGCTACTGCTGTTGCATTGTCCGACAGGACGCAGACATGCTGGCCCCTGATCATGTTCTGGAAGGAGCGGAGCGCTTCCAATATCGCTCTTAACTCCCTCCAGTTTGAGGATTCCCCCTTTTCTACTGGAGGCCACGCTCCCTGAACCACCGAGTCCCCTAGGTAGGCCCCCCAACCTTGGGCACTGGCATCAGTCGTGATCTCCTTGACCACTGGGAAACTCCATAACAGCCCCTGAGTCACATTGGCTATCTTTCTCCACCACCACAGGGATCATTTTACTCTGGAGGGAATAAGAATTCGGGTATCTAGGGACCGTACCTGCCTGTCCCAGACTCTCAGAATGAAAAGTTGAAGGGGACGAAGATGCAGCCCTGCCCACTGAACTGCCAGGATGGATGAAGGTAACAGTCCCAACACCGACATAGCCTGCCTCACGGTTATGCCGCGGCTTCCCAGCAACAGCCTGATCCCCCAGTCTAGCTTGGCAAGCTTTTCTGAGGTTAGCATGGTCTTCTGCCCTGTAGAATCCAGAATGTACCCTAAATAGGTAAATCTTTGGGAAGGAACTAGGCAGGATTTGTCCAAGTTCAGCAGCCAACCCAGTCTCTCCAAGTGTCTCCTCACCACTGCCACGTCCAGCACAAGTTGGACTTCAGAGCCCGCAAATAGAAGCATGTCATCCAGATAGGCCACTACTGCAATTCCCTTCAGCCGAATAGGAACTAACGCTTCGGACAGGACCTTGGTGAAAATTCTTGGTGAGGAGGAGAGTCCGAACTGCAAGGCCCGGAACTGTAGATGGTGCGTCCCTGCTGTGCTCTGAACTGCCAACCTGAGGAAACGCTGGAATGCCTCTGCGATAGGCACGTGCAGATATGCATCTTTGAGTCGATGGAGGCCAGGAATGCCCCTGGTGGAAGGAGGGCTCTGATCGTAAAGATCGAGTCCATCTGGAATCTTTTGTAACGTATGGACTCATTTAGGGGTCTCAGATTCAAAATGAATCTGTAGGCCTAGGGCTCCGTCTCTTTGGGGGACAAAATCTCCTAGCCCCTAGATCCTGTAACTTTCGCTTCAGGGGGAAGGACTCTTTTCTGTCCGCCGTACAGTCCAACACCGACTCTAATCCCGGCCCGAACAGGGGATGCCACATAAATTTTAGACGTGATGTCCCCCTGCCACGTTTTAAGCCACAGGGCCCTACGGGCTGAGTTGGTTAGAGCCGCTGACCTAGCCCCCAATCTCACCGACTCTGCGGATGCATCCGCGATGTACTCCACTCCCTGCAGCAGTGTCTCAAACGATGCAAGAATTTTGTCTTTAGGGGAATCGGCCACAATGTGAGCTTGTAACTGTGTCAGCCAGTATTCCATGTTTCTGGCTACTACAGTCGTGGCCATGGCTGGTTTTAAATTCAACAGGGTTGAATCCCACGGCTTTTTAAGGAGGGATTCAGCTCTCCTGTCCAATAGGTCTGGCAAAACCCCCATATCCTTAAAGGCCAGATCCATTTTCCTGGCCGTCTGGGAAAAGGCTGCGTCCAGTTTAGGATTCTTGTTCCATAAGGCTAAAGGGTCCTTACTGAACGGAAATCTCCATTTAAGTGATTTGGAAAAGAAGGGCTTCCTCTCTGGATCCTGCCATTCCTTCCTTATGGTGTCAACCAAAACCTTGTGCATGGGGAATACCCTACGCTTCTGCTCCTCCATACCCTGGTACATTTAATCGTGCAAGGATAGAGGTTTAACCTCTTCCTTAATGTCCAGTGTATCGTAGATTGCCCCTAATAAGAAAGAGAGCCTATTACCCACCTGTTTTTACCCCCCCCCCCATTCCCTGGCAGGGCCTAACTCTCCCCGGACAGGCCCCCCCCCGCCCTAGACCCTCTGACCACAAGAGGGCCTGGGAACACCCCAGGAGCTAGGGGCCCACAGGTAGGGGAGGACTCCTCTGAGTCACCTTATCTGGGTCTGGCTGGTGCAGGCCTTGCCTGGTCCCGGACCCTCTGCGCCCGACATTGGCAGGAGGGTGGTCGCCAGTTCACGTGGTAGCCTGTTCCCCAGGCTCTATCCCGTGACGCACCGCCATTTCCGCCGGCCCCAGTGTATAGGGCAGCAGCCAGAAGCCGCGACCCCGGAAGAAGCCCCGCCCCTTCCGCAGGAATTGCTGTCCCTCGACATCCGGTCCAGCGTGCTCCTCTGACAGCCAGCATGGGAAGGAGCGGGACTCCTCCCCGATCCCACCGAGGCCTCCACGACACCCACAACTCACCGGAGGGGGCCGGGGGCAGCCGGCAGGTCAGTGTTCTACCCTGTCACCCAGGGTTCACTCCTTCTGCCCCTGCAGCAC